TTGCCCAAGACCACTTTTCAAAGCAAAGTCGGACTCAGGTTATCCAGCAGCTAGAAGGAGCAGGAGGAGTGTTGGGGTAGGAGTGGGGGGAGCTAGAGATCTTCCCTGACCTTACCATACTATTTCCAAGCCTGCGCCCCCCCCCCCACTCCGGCACACACCACCTCAGGTCCACCTGGATCTGAGTGGAAGCAGGGTGGAGTCCCAGGCACCAGCTGGCTAATGGGGACCAGGTAGGGGTGGTTAAGCGGGGCAGCCTACACAGGGAGGGAGGAGGCTGACTGTGGCCATTCTCCATTCAGAGTGATCAGGCTGGTATTAGCTCAGTTACCAAATGTTTGAAAACAATAGAACAATAAACATCGAATTCCAGGTCTTCCCGTTAGTGTAAGTCATCAAGAGAAAGTTGGGGGTGGCCAGTGTCTCAGAGATCAACTCACCCTATTCACTCATTTTACACTTTAGGAAACTGAGGCCCAGAGAAGTGAAGTGACTTCTCCAAAGTCACCCACCCTGTTACCGCCAGAACCAGGACTAGAGATGAGGTTTTCTCTCTCATCCAGGGGCTCTTTCCACTGAGGATTCCATATCACCAAGTGTGGTGCAAAGACCAGGAAACAGACAAAGTATGGGACACTACAGGAAAGGGTAGAGGTTCTAGTCAGTAAGAGATGTGGGGAATGAGCTCACTGGAGGAAACCTAGAACTTTCTGAAGCAGATGTAGCTCTCCCAATGTTCTCTCCTACAAGTTGAGCTTATGATCTAGATAAAGAGAAAAGCCGACCTCAGCACACACGAGAGCTGCACAGCCACACACAATCTCTTTTATAATTCTGCTTTGTATATGGAAATGCCCCTTTCAGTTGGTTTATGAAAATCCTTTCAAAAATTTTAAAATCAATGCTATCTGTGAACTATCTGGGTTAAGACTCACTGTCTGGGGGGCAGCTAGGTGGCACAGTGGATAGAGCACCAGCTCTGAAGTCAGGAGGACCTGAGTTCAAATCCAACCTCAGACCAAACACTTGACAATTACTAGCTGTGTGACCCTGGGCAAGTCACTTAACCCCAACTGCCTAAAAATAAAAAAAAAACTCACTGTCTAGCCCTTTCAGGAAAATCTCTCCCCATCTGGGGACCCTATACCAATCCCCTGCAGAACAACTGGTGCTTTAGCAGGGGTATCCCCAAATCCTGTCCCACCCCACACTGTTTCCCCTGACAGCCTTGGTCTGAGAGGCTGAGAGACATGCCAGCACCGGCTGTCAGGATCCCACTTCTGGCAGGGACAACAGTGAGCCTCTGATTCCTCATTTACAAACCTTCAGTAGCAATACTCAGCAATGCTTGGGTTCAAAGATCTGGTCATACTAGTTTTTAATGGTTTGAAAATCTATTTCAATATAGTTGAGTCATTAAAGGCAAGCCCTTTTTAAATTTTAACGAGTTAAGTAAGCAGCAGGGCGGCTAGGTGGCCTGTAGTGCATGGAGCACCAGGCCTGGAGTCAGGTAGACTCCGCCTCCCTAGTTCAAATCCAGCCTCAGACACTGACTAGCTGTGTGACCCTGGGCAAGTCACTTCACCCTGTTTACCTCAGTTTTCTCATCTGTAAAATGACCTGGAGAAGGAAATGCCAAACCACTGTATTATTTTTGCCAAGAAAACCCCAAATGGGGTCACAGAAAGTCAGACATGATTGAAATGACTGAACAAAAAACAACAACAAAAAGCATTGGCTTTAGCTATTATTACTAGGATATACTCTGTAAAAGCACAAGAAACCCTTGGTTCAGAGGGTCCTTAGGACTGAGCTCCACAGCAGCCCAGGCCTGTGGAAGAAGACGAGCTGCTCTGCTTGGCCAATGAGTGGAAATTTCAAAAAAGCTAAACTGAGGCTGGCGGTCAGGAAAACTTTCCCAACACTCATAGCTGTTGTACCAAAGTGAAGTGGGCGCCTGTGGGAGGTCGAGGGTCCTTCCCCCACGGGGGGGCTGTAAATAAAGTCTGAGTCACCGTGGAGATTGCGGCAGACAGATTTCTCATTCATGTCTAGGTTGGACCAGCTGACCCCCAAGGTCAGTCATGAAGAGGTTCTGTGATTCAGTCTTCAGATTGATGAGGGGAATCAGTCCCCTCTCCCCACCTCTCCCTCGACTGTGGGTGGGATTGGGTAACTCTTTCAAAGGCCCCCGGAAGGCTCACCACTCCTTATTAGCCACATTAGGCAGCGGCCTCTCCCAGGCAAGTTTGGGCTCCACCTGGCCCACAGCCCAGCTCCTGGAGCTTATCTCTTTCACACACAATGGCGCAGGGAGAGGAAGAGAAAATAACCTGGCAATTACAGACTTTCCACCTTTTCACCGGAGTTATTGACTGTCCGGATTTATGAGATGCAGCAGCCTGGGAAGCCAATAAAGCAAAGGAAGACCGTGCACCAGCCTGGGATACAAATATACCCAGGAGGGCCCAGTGCGGGATGCTCAAAGACCACTGTGGCCACCGCTGACGGAAGAAAGTGACATCTAGGCAGCAGAGTGGAAGCTCCCACTTACTTACCCATCATTCGCAAAGTACTTTCCTCCCAGCTGTCCTGAGAGACAGACAGCGACTATCTCCATTTCACAGATGAGAAAACTGAGGCTCAGTGAGGGGGAAGCAGTTTGCTCACAATCGTGGAGCTGGTAAATTCCAAAGGCAGGACTGCTGAAGTCAGTCTGTTGTTGTCATTCATGCTTTCAGTCATGTTTGAGTCTTCATGACCCCATTTGGGTTTTCTTGGCAGAGATACCAGAGTGGTTTACCAGTTCCTTCTCCAGCTCATTTTTACAGATGAGGAAACTGAGGCAAGCAGGGTGAAGTGACCTGCCCAAGATCAGACAGTTAGTAAGTGTCTGAGGCTGGATTTGAATTCAGGTCTTCCTGACTCCAGGCCCTGTGCTCTATCCACTGAGCCATTTAGCCCTAGCCACATTAAAGTGCGTGGTATTAACTAGTCATTCTTTAGAACTATAGATGCAGCTAGGTAGCACAGGGAATAGAGTGCTGAGCCTGGAGTCAGGAAGACCTGAGTTCAAATCCAGCCTCAGACAATTAGCAGCTGTGTGACCCTGGGCAAGTCACGCAATCTCTCTGCCTCATTTTCCTCACCTGTAAAATGGAGATAATAACAGCACCTGCCTCCCAAGGCTGCTGTGAGGATCAGATGAAATAATAACTGTAGAACACACACCTCTGTGCCAGGCACAGAGCAAGCCCTATTCAGGGGTTCGATATTATTATTAAAAAGAAAAGCTGAATAGGGCCGTGTAGGAGGGAAGGCTCTAGCTAGACCTTAGGGCTCTCTCTCACAGTTACTTTTCAGTGCCTCTGTCTGGAGGGAATGTCCATTCAAACCTGCCCACACGGCTAAAATGCATCCTGAACCTTTCCAGGCAGCAGGGGCAGCCTCATCCATAAATTATTTTGAGGATCCAGTCTCCTGCCTGGAATGCCCAGAAGCAGGCTCTGCCTTATGACCTTGGACAAGCCACGTTTCTTCTCTGGGCCTCCATGGTCCCTGCCACCTCCTCCATTCCATCAATCACTTTCAGAAACAATGGGGCCCTGTTCACCGGGTCTCTTGCTCCATTGCTTTCAGGCACCTGGTATCTGGCCATGAGGAAGCCATCCCCACCTCCAGGGGAGGGGATGGACTCAGAGTGAATGAGCCCTGCTTTTCTGCAGGCATTATGGTCATTTGTTTTGCTCGACTATGCATATTTGTTACAACTGTGGTCTTTTTCTTTTTTTTTTCCCCAGTAGAGGAGGCAGGGAGAGATAAATAAATGTTCGATTTAAAAAAAGAATTCAATTTTTAAAAAAAGTTTGGGGGGGCAGCTAGGTGGCACAGTAGATAAAGCTCCTGCCTTGGAGTCAGGAGGACCTGAGTTCAAATATGGCCTCAGACACTTGACACTTACTAACTGTGTGACCCTGGGCAAGTCACTTAACCCCAACTGCCTCACCCCCCCCCAAAAAAAAGTTCTGGTCTCTTCCGTCTCCAGCATTCTATGCTTTGTTCTCTGTTGACTCAAATGACACTTGGGCTATGGCCCAGACAGGATTTTTCCAAGAAAAGCCTTCCCTCTACAAACTTAAAAATGCTTTTTAAAATAGCAGTTATTGCAATGCTCATACGCTACTGATCAACTGACCGAGCACAAAAGACATATGCTTCAGTTATCTGGAAACTTCACTCATGTGGAGCAAAACAAGAATTGAGTTCTAGGGCGCTTGAAGGTTGAAGTCTTTTCCTTACAACAACCTTGTGAACTAGACAGTACAATGATCATCATTCCCATTTTACAGATGAAAAAACTGAGTGACCTGCTCATAATCACCCTGCTAATGAAGGTCAGAGGAAAGAGTGCCAAGACGCTGGAGCTAGCCACCATTCACCCTAGCAGCTCCCACCTCTGGAGCACCTCGAAGTCACAAAGCCCTTTCCCCCCAACAGCTCTGGGAGGTGGGAGGTACACATGATCTTACCCTCCCATTTCACAGATGAAGATCCTGAGGGAACGGCAGTTGGTTCTGAGATGCATTCAGCTCATGCTTACAATCAACATCCTGAGTTTTGAAGACAAAAAGTGCATGCTCTAGAATGAGGGCTTTTTTTTTTTTGCTAGGCAATGGGGTTAAGTGACTTGCCCAAGGTCACACAGCTAGTAAGTGTTACGTATCTGAGGTCAGATTTGAACTCAGGTCCTCCTGAATCCAGGGATGATGCTCTATCTACTATACGACCTAGCTGCCCCTAGAATGATGGCTTATCTAAATTACCTAGAATAAAAAGTCCTGGGAAAATAGCCCTTGGGAACAGGCCGTACTTAAACATGACCAATCACCTGCCCCAAGGCTGACCCTGAATGAAATATTGCAGAATTTGAATCCAGGCCCCCCGACTCCACAAGATTTGGGGATGCCCACCCACATTCCAGGAGGCTCCTCCTTACCCACCTATCCACAGCCTCCCTGATGAGCTGCTGCAGGTCTACCTCCTGTTTTCGCAGCGTCCCAAAGGAAGACTGGCTCTCCACCAAGCCTGCTCCTCCGGCGTTCAGGGTGATCCTCCCCAAGACAGTCTCTACGGTGCCCTTCACGACATCTTCAAATTTCCCCTCATACTTCACAAAGTCTGACTCAACCACAACTAGAAGGAAACAAAAGATGACCAGAGCTTCAGACAAACATGTCTTGGCACATAGTAAACACTGAATAATTTTTGAATTAATTAATTTATTTTTAGTTTTCAACAATCTCTTCCATAAGCTTTTTTAAAAACAGTAAATAGCAGTACTTTTAATGTTACACACATCAAACCATAATAAAAAGACAATTATAAACTGGACGCTGTTTCTCTGTTTTCATTAGCAACATATTCCTCTTACAGTAAACCAAGTTTGTGTTCCACCATCACGTGTGGTTCTCCTATTACATCACTTTGCGATGGATCATTGAGAATATCTTCAAATCCAATACTCTCATCATTGCCCCTCAAAAGACCCAAGGAGAGGTTCGAGCTCTGAAGAAATGGAAGGTGCTAGACCTGTTTCACTGCCTTAAATTCCGTCTGTAACTTCAAGGGAGCATATAGGTCCTGGATATTTCTCAGCACAATAATATTCCACTATTAAATAAAACTCATTCCCTCCTTCCGATGGCAGGAAGAGCCTTGAAAAAGATAAAGGCTGGGATTCATATCAACATCTGTTAGTTGGGTGTTTGGTACAAGAAGAACTGGCCTTGTCACTTCGCCCCTTGTCTACCCTAATGGACAACTGGACACCTGCCCAGCAGTCTGGGTAGTAATCATCAATGGGAGAGGCTGGGAGGGTCTGAGTAGAAGACTGTCAGGGAGAAAAGGAAGGGCATTGCCTGCCACCCCTGGAACCCCTGGCTGCTTCCCAGTCACTTGGTCTAGCCTACTTTGGGGAGAGTCCTCCCCTGACCTTCTTCTACCAATCAGTCAATCAACAGGCATTGAAGGATCTACTATGTGTAAAATACTGGGCTAGGTGTCTGGTACGCGTGCTGGGGACACAGACAAAACTACAATCACATAACTAACTGCCTACTGAACCCTCAAAAGCTTGTCCCGTAGACATGTCCAGGGCAGGATTTGTACTTTCCCCCCAAACCCTCTTTAGAACTTCCCGTCCTCCTAGTCTTCCAGGTTGGCAGCCTTGGCATCATCCTTGACCCCCCATCTCTCATCATCTATCCAATCAAGATTCTTGTCTCTGCCCCCATGACACCTCATTGATCTGACTTCAGGCTTAAGTGCTTGGGATTCAAAGAAAATCAGTCCCTACCCTCAAGGAGCTCCCGCTCTAGTGGGGGAGACAACATGCAAAGACGTGTGTACCTACAAGATATAGACCTAAAAAGGGAAGTTAGATGAAAGAGGAAGAACCAATGGGAGGAGAGAAGAGAGAGAACTGAGAGAAGCCTTTGGCAGAAAGTGGGATGCGAACAGAGTCTTCAAGGATTCCACCAATGGACTGCCATACTGAGGACCAAACAGTGCACAAAAGGGAGGAAAGCGTAAGAAGACTAGACAGAGGGGACTTTCCATGCCAAAGAGAGGGTTTTATATATGACCCTGGAGGTAAAAGTCAGTGGAGCTCATTGGGTAGGAGACTGACATGACCAGACCTGAACTTCTGAAAGATTCCTTTAGAAGTAGGGGAGGATGGGGAGAGACTTTAAGGCAGGGACACCAATTAGGGGGCTGTTGGAATAAGAAATGTTAAGGGCCTCAACAAGAATGGCAACAAGTTCAGTCTTGATGTACTGAATTTGAGATGCCTACAGGAATCTAATGGAGATGCATAAAGGTGATGTGGGACTGGAGGTGAGGAGGAGAATAGGGCTGGATACAGAGATCTGAGAATCATCAGCCCTGAGACAGTCATGGAATCCATGGGATCACCAAATTAGATTACATAGAAGGAAAGGGGAAGAACCCAGGACAGAACTTTGGTGGCCAGCCACAAGCTAGTGGCATGACCTGATTAACAATCCAGCAAAGGTGATAGGGGAAGGGTCAGATAAGTTGGAGGAGAACCAGGAGAGAGCAGTGTCACTGGAGAGGAGAGAGTGTACAGGAGAAGAGGGTGGTGGACAGGCTGCAGAGGCCCAGAAGGATAAGGATTGAGAAAATGCCACTGGTACTGGCAATAGGAGATCATCAGTAACTTTGGAGGGAGCAGTGTTGATAGAACAATGAGGCTGGAAGCCAGACTACTGAGTTAAGAAGAGAGGGAGAGGAACTGGAGGTATCTAATGTAGATGGTGCCCTGAAGGAGTTCACCCACAAAAGGGAGAAGATGTGGAACAATAGCTGGTGGAAATGGATGGAACAAGGGAGGGTTTTTTTGAGGATGGGGAAGACTTGTTTGTAGATAGCAGGGAAGGAGCTTGGGGAGAGAATGAAGATAAAAGAGTGGGGATGATAGTAAGGACAATCTTATGAGAAGATAGGAAGAGATGAAATCAAGGATGCACAGAGGGGTTTGCCTTGGCAAGAAAAAGGGCCATCTCTCCTTTTGAGATGGGAGGAAGAGATAATGGTGGAAGGCACCTAGGTGATGTAGGAGGGGGTAGAGAAGAGAACAGGGAGCTCTCCACAAAGGCTCCAATTTTCTCAGTCATGTATGAGGTCAGGTTCTCAGTGGAGAAGGTGAGTGATAGGGTGGCTGTAGAGATCAAAGGAAAGAGAAGAGTTTGGAAGTGATACCTTGGAGAGTGAGATAAGGAATCAATTAGGGAAAAATAAAAGAGTCTGGCTACAGGGAAGGCCCAGTGAAGAGGATGCAGATTAATTTGTAGGGGATCCAGTCAGCACGATTTCACAATTCCCATCAGCTTTGTTCAGCGCTGACTCTCCCTGGGTGACACAGCCTTCACAAACACCTCAATTCTGATAAATACCTTTGCAGATTTATAGCTCTCTGACCTCTGCCCAGGCAGGGAATCCCTTATCTCCACTAATCTTCATGATAAAGTCCTGCTGAGGCTTCACCACTCACTGCCTGAACCACAACTTGGAGAATAACCAGGCCCCTCATCTTGGGCCAACACCATGTCCCAGGCTCCCAGCCCTGGGCTTTGGGGACCTGTTCCCCAACCTCTAGGGACTCCTCTCCCAACTCTCTCCTCCCCACATCCGTATGGCCACTCTCAGAAGCTCTCCAGGCCCCATCCTGTTCTCTCAGGATTTGAAGGAGGATCTTTGGTATCTCAGGATGATCAGACTTGATCAGATTTGAGCTGTCATCCACTGAAAATGCTCCTGGGGCAAGTCAGTCAGGGAGGAGTGGAGGCAGTGTAGGATTGAGTGGAAATGATGCTCTTTCCCCAAAGATGGTTGGTGTTTAGTTGGTTGTATCTGACTCTTCATGGCCCCTTCTGGTGTTTTCTTGGCAAAGATCCTGGAGTGGTTGGCCATTTCCTTCTCCAGCTCATTTTACAGATGAGGAAACTGAGGCAGACAGGGTGAAGTGACTCTCCCAGGGGCACACAGATAGCATGTGACTGGGCCAGGTTCCAGTTCCAAATCCATCACTACTCGCTACCTCACTCCAGCACCCAAGGTTTCATTGTCCAGGTCTAGAGTCCATACTTGCTCCTTGGTTCATTCCATGTACTTAAAGTAGCCTTCCAGGGCAGGTAGGGGGCGCAGTGGATAGAGCACTGGCCTTGGAGTCAGGAGGACCTGCGTTCAAATCTGGCCTCAGACACATAGCACTTACTAGCTATGTGACCCTGGGCAAGTCACTTAACCCCATTGCCTAGCCAAACTGAAAAAAAAAAAGCAATATTAAAGTAGCCTCCCCATGAGCCAGTCTCTGTTCTCCCAAGATCTCTCTCCTCTCCCATCTTGCCTCACCTGAGAGAACTTCCTCAGTGGACAAAAGGAGGGAGCCTTCAATTGCACCCCTCTCCAGCATCCACTTCAAGCCTTTCAGACATAAGTAAGGAATAGATGTGGCCCCAGGCCTCAAAGCATGAAAGGGATGGATCTTTTTCTGCATGGTCTGTGTCAGTAGGCTGCTCTACTGTGTGAGAGACCCACACATAGGGGGCATAGGACAAGGTCCCATTCACGTTCCATAGAGCGCCTGACACTTTATCCTTGGCTCTAAGGAATATGCAACAACCACCTGAGGCAAAGAAAAGGCCTGGCCCTTTGGCATCCAGGGTCCAATGTCTATACTGCCCTCCTAGGTATGCCCTGGGCCAAGCGCACCCAGGAAGTGGCCGAGCCAGATCTGAACTGCCATGCTATCAAGGTGCAGCCCTGGCCCTGATTACACAGCGCCATCCTGCCTCCCTCTCATTAACCTTTTGTCCCCTTGCACAAAAGGACGGGGAGCAAGCACGTGCCCCTGTGAGTCAGGTCTTCCTTCCACTTCTCTTCCAAAGAGATCATACAAATGGGAAAAGGACCCACGTGCACAAAAATATTCACAGCAGCTCTTTCTGTGGTGGCAAAGAATTGGAAATTGAGGGGATGCCCATCAAGTGGGGAATGGCTGAGCAAGCTGTGGTATATGAATGGAATGGAATGCTATTGTGCTATAAGAAATGATGACCAGGCTGACTTCAGCAAAACCTGGAAAGACTGGTATGGTCTGATGCTGAGTGAAGTGAGCAGAACCAGGAGAACATTGGACACGGTAACAGCCACGTTGTACGATGACTAACTTTGATAGACTTAGCCCTTCTCAGAGATGCAAGGATCTAAGACATCTCCAAAGGTTTCATGATGGAAAATGCTCTCCCCATCCAGAGAAAGAACTATGGAGTCTAAATGCAGATCAAAGCAGACTATATGTTCTTTTGTTCCTTCTACTTTGTTTCTTCTTTCTTGTGGTTCCTCCTGTTGGTTCTCATTCTTCTTTACAACATGACTAATGTGAAAATATGCTTAATATGAATGTATAAGTAGCACTGATATCAGATTGCATGCTGTCTTGAGGTAAGGGAGAGGGAGAAAATTTAAAACTCAAAATCTTATGGAAGTAAATGTTGAAAACTAAAAATAAATTAATTAATTATAAAAAAAGAACCCCTGTCCTAGACGAAATAGCAAAAGAAGAAAAAAGATGTGTGTATAGGTATATGTATGTGTACACACATACATACACATATGTATACATATAAACACTGTATGCTACATATATGTGTTATGTGCATATGCTTATATGTGGCATGTTTATGTGTATAGTACATGTGTGTGTCTGTCTATGCACATGTAGGAGCATGTATACACACATAATTATTTGCCAGCATTATAAAATTCCCAACTCAGGGGACGCGGTTGCTCTTGCTTCACTGAGAAATAAAAAGCACATGTCACTCCCTTGCTGAGGACAGAGGAGGCCTCTTCACGATCTTTGGACCTCCTTTGGGGCCCGGAGTGCAGCAGAGGGCAAGTTCTTTCTTGGGATTTTTGTTGCTGCTGTTTGTGGCTGTTGTGCTGTCCTTTCTAGATGTTTCCCGGATGACTCCGAGGATGCTGACTGGCCCAGCTGCTGGATGAAGCCCTTCCCTCTAGGAGAGTCCCCATCCCTGTGTTCAAAGCCATAGCGGGTGCCTTACCTGGATTCACAAACTGATCTTTGGTCAGGATGTCATTGATGGTGGCTGATAAAAACTGGTACTTGGGTCTCTGCCAACACCAAAACTTTTTTTTCTTCACCACCAAACTCATAAGCTGTAACGTGTCTGAGTCATTCAGGCTCTTTACTGGGATCAAGTCCCCTCCCGGGTCAGTATCTTTCAGAAAATTCCTGGTGGCCTTGGCAAACATCCTGAGGACTCACCTGAAAGAACAAGAAGCCTTTCTTTACACGAGCAAACAAAGAATGGAGAATTTCCCAGTGTCTTCTCCTAAACCTCCTCTGGAGAGAATCCCCCAGCCACAGCTCACAGAGAAGTGGTCAAAATCACTCCAGCTGGATGGATGCCAGAGAGCGAACTGAGGCGTTAAAGGGAAATCTGTCTTTCCTGATCACCAGTCCTCCTCTGAACTGAACAGTTATTTCTCCCTAATGTACCACTGCCTTTTCCCAGGCACGTACGGTAGAGTAGGCAGCTCTTATGAGTTATTATACCAGGAGAGAGAAAGGCATATTCTGATTGAGACTGCAGGACAAAGAGAGAGGGAGAGTGGTGGGGTAGGAGCAAGAGAGATGGGGGGGGCAGAGAAAGAGAGGGGGAGAGAAAGAGAGGGGGGAGAGAAAGAGAGGGGAAGAGAAAGAGAGGGGGAAGACAAAGAGAGGGGAGAGGGGGAGAGAAAGAGAGAGACAGGGGAGGGAGGGAGGGAGGGGGAGAGAGAGAAAGAGAGAGAGAGAGAGAGAGAGAGAGAGAGAGAGACAGACAGACAGACAAGGCAAGAGAAAGAGATGGGGGGAGAGAGAAAGAGGAGAGGGAAAGAGACAGGGCAAGAGAAAGAGAGAGAGGAGTGAAGGGCGCAAAATCTAGTGGAAAACCGCTGGCTATTGTATTTGCATCCATCACTGCAGCTTCTCAGCACTACATCTTAGAAAAGGCATTGTCAAAATGGAGCCCACCTAGAAGAGGGCGACCACGATGGGTTGGCATCTGTGACTCGGCAGGCTCAGATGAAGGACCCGGGGATGTTTATCCTGGAAAAGAAAAGTGTCCACAGGCATCTGAAGGGCTGTCATGCAGGATGTCACGCTACAGCTTGGCACACAAGGGGGGCAGAACTGGGAAGCAAGGGAGGAAGGTGAAGAAAAGCGTATTTAGACTTGGCATAAGGAGAAAGTTCCTAAAAATTTGAGTTTTTCAAAATGGAAGGGGCTGCTGAATGACCTTTGTCAGACACATCCTTGAGAGAATTCCCATGCAAGTATGAGAGATGACCTCTGAAATTTCCTGCTATTCTGAGATTGTGATTCATTGGGAGACACCATTATTTAGTGTATGGGGGTGGGTGAGGTTGAAGTGGGGCAGTGCACCATGATGGGTAGAGAACAAACCTTGAATCAGGAGGATCTGGGTTCGAGTCCAACCTGTGACACATGCTGGAAAGTCTTTTAACTTCCCCATGCCCCAGGCCATGTAAGATTGGCAGTTACAGAGCAGGTGCTGATCTGCCCCGCTAGAGGGAGTTCCCTCCACCAATGCAATTCCAAGACTCGTGAAAAACCAGCCATAATACCACCAGGTTGGGAGCTCAAGGTTCCAACCTATTTTGTGACTGACTGATCAATCAACTTCCTAGCTCTATGCCTCAGTTTCCCTACTTGTTGGGGGGAAGGGAGGAAGGACAAGACATTCCCTTCTATTCTCATAAAGAAAGTAAGCTAGTATAAGTGAGAAAGTGTTGCAATCACAGGGCAAAACCATTACAAGAAATTACAACTGAAGCGGGGGGGGGGGGGCAACCATGATTTCTTCATCTGACAAAGGAAATTTTTTCCTCAACAGGAAACCCTAAACTCTCAATTGCCCAAAGCCCCTTACCCCACACAACTGTTTCTCTCAGGATTTTAAAAAATGAGGAATCCTTTTTTTTGGTCCCTATATGGGTGTGGGGGTAGTGCTTGGAACAAGTATAAGTAATAAAGCCTTGGGCTGAGGAACACGTATCTCTAATCGTCCCTTCTTGAAAGGCTGATTTCATTTACTTTGAGAAATGAGGCTTTACACCACCTTTGTGGAAAACCTTCCCTGCCCCTCCCCTGGAGGGAGGAAGGGAAGGGAGGCACCACTGCGGGATGGACCAGACAAGAAGAGAGCTTGAATCCCCACTGGGCCACTCACTATCTGTGTGACCTTGCACTATTATATCACCTCTCTGGATTTCAGTTTCCTCATTTGCAAAATTAGGAGGAGTTGGAAAAAAAAATCATGAAATTATCAGATCTGATTTTTACTGTTTGGCTTTTGTTTTAACCCAGGTTGAAATATGGGATGTGACTTGTGTAAGGTCATACTGATAACAAGTGGCAGGTCTAAAACCAGAAGGGACCTTGGAGGTCATCTAGCTCAACCTTCCCCCTCATTTTATAGCTCAGGAAACTAAGGCTCAGAAAACTCAGGTCACAGAAATAAGCAAAACAGCTGGGACTTGAACTCAGGCTCTATGTCTACACCAGCTTCCTGTCTTTTGGTCTACACTGTGCTTCTGCTACTGTCTGCTGGCTCAGTTTTCTTGTTTATAATAACAACTCACATTTACAAATCACTTTCTGAGTATGAGAGGGAGACAAGAAAGACTTGCTCTGAGTTCAGATGTGACCTCTGACATGGACTGGCTGTGTGACCTCCGAGCCACTATTCCTCTGCTATAAAACAGGGGCTTGGACTTGGTGGACTTGAGTCTCTCTAGTTCTAAATCTACGACTCTATAATAATCTATTATGAGGCCTTCCTTACATTAACCTGGGGAGATTGTCAAGAAATTCTCATCGCTCCCACTTTGCAGATTCCCACTGAGTCTCTCACCTCCACAGCCATTACCACTCTAACTCTCAGTAGAGACACATGCTATGAGTGTTTTGGGGAAAACACTTTGCAAACTGTAAAACTTTATGTACATTTGGATATTATGACGGCTAGTGTACTGTCTGGGGAAAGAAGCATGGGACAGGGGCAGGTAAGTGGCGCAGTGGATAGAGCACCAGCCCTGGAGTCAGGAGGACCTGAGCTCAAATCTGACCTCAGACATATAACACTTACTAGCTGTGTGACCCTAGGCAAGTCACTTAACCCCTCGCCTTGCCAAAAAACAAACAAACAAAAACAAACAAGAAGCATGGGACAGCACCTGAAGGATGTGCTGAATTTGAGGCTAGAGGACAAGACTTCCAATTCCCTCAGTTTCTTCCTCTGTAAAATGGGGGAGTGGGGTGGGGACTGGATAGCCCTTAAGGTCCCTTCCAGCTCTAGCCCTAGGATCCCACAGCACGTTTTCTCCAGTTCTCCAGAAGGCAAGTCAAAGCCAACGTCAGAAGGATAGCTTCACACCAAAGCCATCCGCCCATCCACCAGCAAAGCTCCAACATTTCTACTGTCAGACCTGGAAAAGAGATGGTTAACCCAAGTCCATTTTTTTTAGGCAGTTGGGTCACACAGGGTCACACAGCTAGTTAAGCATCAAGTGTTTGGTTTGAGGCCGCATTTGAACTCAGGTCCTCCTGACTTCAGGGCCGGTGCTCTATCCACTGTACTACCTAGCTGCCCCACCCAAGTCCATTTTTACTGGGAAGAAAGGGTGGAAAACACAGCCCTTGACTGCTCAAGCCAGTGTAAAGTAAAACAAAATAGTTTCCAAAAACCAGAGGTCAGCGAGGACTCTGCGAGAGCCCTAGGGTTAGAGACAGAAGAACCCTGGAAACTTCTAAATGAAAGCCCAGTCCTGGCCTGGAGTCAGTGAGGCGGGAGCTCCAATTGCAAGCAGATCACAGGACTTGCGGCTGAAGGAGGGTCCCTGGAGGAGAGCTAGGCCAACCCCCTCATCTGATGTGGGGAATGAGGCCCAGAGAGATCAAATATGCGGTCTAAATGTCACAAGATCACAGATTTAGAAGTGGAAAGAAGAAAAACAGAACGATCCTAGATTTGGACAAGGCAGGCAGGGTAGAGCAGAAAGAACCCTGGATTGGAAGTCAAGAGACTCCATTTCAAAGTCCCTTCCTGCTATTTCTACCTTTGTGACCTCAAATAGATCTGTCACCCCCTTGGCCTCAGTTTCCTTATCTGGGGTGGGGGGGGTCATCTCCACCAGTAAGGAAAGAGTCCTACAATGACAGGCACAGGGACTGCGGTTACATTCCTAAAAGGACAGTGTGGGTCTAGAATGCCTCCAACTTCCAGCTTCCTGTGGATCACTCCCAGCAACCTAGATCAGCAACCTAGAGCAACAGCTTCATTTCTAGACCACAGAGCTGAGAAGTGGCTGCTCCAATGCCACAGATGTGGCACAGCAGGGATTTCACTTGGGATCCAGACGCCATAACTGGACCTCTTTCTAACCATACCAACTACTTTTCACTGTTCCAAGGCTCTGCTGCCTCAGGTTCCCTTCTTTTATAATAACTCAGAAGTCTGGGGTTCTGACCTAAAGAATCAGAAAGGTCTGGGCTCAGCGCTGCCTTTAACACACATACAGGTCATCTCTACCCCTTTAATCCCCCTGCCTCCCTCTGCTGAGCAGCTCCCATTTATCCTGCCTGTGTAGCATGTTTGTACATAGTTGTTTTGAAGTCCTCCCTGGCACACTGGGAGCTCCTTGAGGGCAGGGGCTGTCTGTTGCCTTTCTTTGTATCCTCAGAGCTTAGCACTGTGCCTGGCATATAGTAGGTGCTTAATACATGTTTATTGACCAAATCCCTCAATTTACAGACAAGGAAACTGACAGCTAAAAAGGGGAAGTAATGGGGAACAGCTCCCATCCCAAGCCAATCCATCTGTTGACTCCAGATCCAATGTTTGCCACTTTGGAGCTTAATACTCATCTGGTCAAACAGCCTCATTTTATCATTGCAGAAGTTGAGGCCCAGAGAAAGTGGCCTGCTGAGGTGAACCAGCTGTAAAGGGGGGGAGCTGGCACCCAAACCCTCAAGACCCCAAGTCTGGCTTAGCTGTAGTAGAGAAGAGAGAGAGAAGGGGAAGGTTTGAGGAGGTCCCCAAACTAAATCGCCATCCCAGATGAGTTGGGTTTTTTGGGGGGAAGGAAATAAAGTATTTAGTAGGCACCTACTATGTGCCAGGCACTGGGCTAAGAGCTTTACAAATATTTTTAATTTGATCATCTCTTGTCAACATCCCTGAGGGGCTTAGCACAAGTCACAGCCCTAAGGACTCCCGTCCACTGCAATATGCCTTTGTCCTGCAAGTGGCTCAGTTTCCCCCCAGCTACAGTTCCACGCCTGGGTTCAGCATTCCAGCAGTCCCAACGACTTGTTTGTCTGACAGCCCTCCTGAGTCCAGCGGCAGGACTCCCCCACTTCCCCCTTCCTTTCTGGGGCCTCCAACCAGATTCAGGCCAGGCAGAGGTGAGGGTGGAGGAAGGGCTGGGGGAAGCTAAGATCTCGTGCTTGCAACAACCGCTACCCTAAGAGGAGGAGAAGCCGGGGCAGGGGCTTCGAGGAACAAGGAGAGGGGGTTACCGGGGCCGGCTGGGCAGCTGCGGATCCAGTGTCCCTGAGAAGTCGGGCAGTGAGCGTCGGAGCCACTTCTTGGTCCAGGTGATCTCGGGTCCTGCCCAGGAGGAGAGACAGAAACAAAGCGGCAGCGTCCAGGAGGAGGAGGAGGAAGAGGAGGTGCTCTCTCTGAGACACCCCCCTCAGCCCCACTTGTCTCCCAAGGCTCAGGCCCCTGGGATCCTTGCTCCTCGTGGGGGAAGCACTGGAAATAAAACGGGGCCTGCGAACCACAGCTTTTTATCAGGGCCGAACTGGGCGTGGTGGGCGGGTCAAGGCGGCGTGGGGCGGGCTGGGAAACTTTGGCCCGGCCCAGCATCTGGAGTGGGCCTGAGAGAGACAGCTGTGTTGGGGGGCGGGGCTCCAGGGGCACCGAGAGGCCCAAGAAGGGTCTCTGGAGGGGAAAGAGGAAGGAGAGAGAGATCGGGATTGGCGGGCAGGAATCTGGGAAAGAGGGTGGGTTATGGGTCCTGGGCTTGAGGGGCGGGGTACACGTGAGGGAGGTCCATGCTCTCTTACTTGCCGAGGGAGAAACTGAAGTACAGGGGATGCCTAGCCCCCTGGAAGCGGCTGAAGTTCTCCGTTTAGCTTACTTGGTGACTTCTCAGCTGAAGAATTGCTCTGTGCCCTGGCCTGAATCAGGAGTCGGGAGATGGCGGGGTTCCAATCTTGGCTCTGACGTTTACCCACTTTGTAACCCAGACCTCTTAGCCTCACTTTCCCCATCTGTTCGATGGGGATAAATGCAGCCCTTATTATTTTTCCCTACTGGGTTGTCATTATCAAAGAAAATAATGAATGAAATTAGAAGGCCGGGGGCTTTGAGCAGGGAGTAATGCGATCAAAACAATAGTTTAGGAAGATTATTGGCCAGATGTGCAGAACAGATTGGAGAGGAGACAGGCTGCAGGATATTGTTAGAATCCAGGTGTATAGTAACAAATAAATGTGTTAACTAGGGAGGAAGCAAGGGGAATAATGACAACCGACATTTACATAGAACCTTAAAGATCATGAAGCACTTTGCATATCTTATTTGATCCTAACCTGCTGTTACTACAGCTCTTTGCAAGGTGGGTGCTCTTATAATGTTCATTTTACAGATGAGGAAACTGAGGCCCAGAAGAGGAACAGTTTACTCAGGATCACACAACTGGTATGAGTCAGAGGAGGAATGTCTTGATAACTCCAGGTCTGGCATGGGCAGTGTTGGATATGGACTGGAAAGGATGGATCCACAGGATGGAGCCCCCAACACATTGAGAGGAGAGAGAAGAATCAGTAGTGACGTTCCAAACCCAGTGATATCTTAGAAGAAATAGAGAATGCAGAAATAGGGCCTGGTTTTTGAGGTCTTCTGCAATGAGGCTCCATCCGCTCCAGCTTTGCAGGTTTATTGCATTTCATTAACCATCGTCCACATTCCATTCCAGGCAAATTAATCCTCCACTTAGCACAGTGTCTCTGTGCTTGGAACATAGTAGGCATTTAATAAATGTTTATTGGCTGACAGAAATTAGCCTGAGGACTCTAGTTCACAACATTCCATCTCCTGCCTCCATGACTGCACCGGTGGTCCTCCGTGTCTGGAACACCCTTCCTTCCTCACATTCCCTTCATAGAATCTCTACTGTTGCTGTTCAGTTTGACTCTTTATGACCCCATTTGGGGTTTTCTTGGGAAAGATACTGGAGGGGTTGTCCATTTCCTTCTCCAGCTCATTTTACAGATGAGGAAACTGAGGTAAACAGGGTGAAGTGACTTGCCTAAGGTCCCACATCTAGTAAGTGTCTGTTGAGCCCCTGACTTCAGGGGCGGTGCTCTATCCACTGCACCACCTAGCTACCCTAGATCCCTGGTATTCTTCAAAGTAAGCTCAGAGGCCACTTCCTACAGGTGTCCTGTCCCGATCTCCCCAGTTAGTATTGGTCTCTCCTTCTGGAAATTACTTTGGATTACTTTGCCTATACTTACCTTTGTAAGCTCTTTGACAGTAGCCAAGATAGATAGATGATATAGATAGATAGATAGATAGATAGATAGATAGATAGATAGATAGATAGATAGATAGATAGATGGATAGATGGATAGATGGATAGATAATAGATGGATGGATGATGGATGGATGGATAGCTATAGATACATATATACAGCAAATTATATATACTATATATTTAAAACCTTTTGGTGAAACACAAATATTAAGAAACAGTATTTTCTCTAAAAAGTCCATTCCTAAATCTTTAGGAAAACTGCTTACAAAGGCTTTTCTTAGGGAAATGGCTGAGTAATGCCAAACGTTTTAACTAAAGTTAACTCTAGTAGGCCTCACAGCTACGACGATTGGATTATTGACCCAACCTGTTATCTAGGACCTAACCTTCTCTGAGGAGAAAAGATTAAGATACTTATGAAAGTAAGGTCCCTTTGTTTAATTCCTAATGTAAGGAGGAGGGGGGAGTAGTTATGAGGACGGGATATTGACTAGGTTGGTCAATTTCTGGAAGGTTAACCCAGAACTGTATTGTATATATTGTGATTTTCTTTCTTGGGATTCCTACAAACATTACCTGAAATCTTCTCCAGGCAGAGAGAGATGTAGTGTGGGGAAGTGTGCCAGTTTGGACATCTCTCCAAGCTAGAAATAGCTTGAATGTAGGTTTAATGACATATTAAATAAAATTATTTCAGGAAGATCAGAGCTCAGAATGCTGAGTACAGTATTTGTATATTTCCTCCTGAAACTTTAGATACCATTTCCTTTTTGTCTTTGCATCCTGTGCCTGACATAGAATCAATCAGCCAATGAGCATTTGCTACATGCCAGGCATTGCATTGTTCTGGTCACTTGGCATGCAAACACAAAGACCATGCAGCAGAAAAATTACTGAGTGTTTCTGGAGTAGAATTGATTTCTTCTCCATGAGTCTTCTCCGCTCCATAGTTACAGTGAGCACCCAAAAGGTTACTTTGGGAACACCTGGCCAGAAGAATCTTGATATAATTTTGCTTGGAACCTGGGAATTAGCATGGGTTAGTATGTAGGTTTTCTTTTCAAAATTTATTATAAACATTAACTCAATAAGAAATGATAAATAATGAAGAATTCTAATACACAGTGATACAGAGAGGAAAGATATCAAGGATTGCAATAAGGGGGACTGAGGCAATATTTGAGGCAATAACTCTGAGGTCTAATGCAGTGGACAGTCCTGAGCCCAGCTGGCTAAAGTCAAGGCCCAAACCCATCCTTTCTTGGAACTACACATAGAGACCAAGAGTGGGAGGTGACATGGAGGTCCAGTCCAAGTCTCCCTTTTACCCTCTTTTGCTGAACAATTTTCAGAGTGTGTGTGTGTGTGTGTGTGTGTGTGCATATGTTTACATATATATGCACATATGTATACAAACATATACATACATATCTAGTCCCTCAGTAGTCCAGCAACAAGCATTTATTAAATGCCTACTGTGTGCCAGCACTGGATATCACCATAACCATACAGTTGTTATATGTATGACATAGTGTTGCATGGTGAATAGAGAGGCGGCCTCCTCAGGAAGCCAGAGGTTTAAATGGATCCCCTTGACACCCATTGGCATCTTTTGCTTTTTTTTGTATCTCCACTGCAGGTGCCTGACACAGAATGGAAGTTTAATAAATGCATACTACATGACTCCCTGATTGTGAGCTACTCAGCTTCTCAGTGCTCTAGGCAACTCAGAACCAGTGCCCCTCTGCCTAGGCAGAAGGAGTGTCCTAAGTGGGCATCCCCTTCCCCATCGAAATCACAAGTCCACTTCTTCCTGAAAAATTTGTACTACCTACGTTTTCACATATCCCTGTCCAAATTGTCTTGTGCCTCACTGTTTCCATAGGCCTTTTCGAGGTAGCTGGAAGCTCAGTGGATAGGGCTCCCTGCCTGGAGATAGCATGACCTGAATTGGAATTCAGCCTCAGACACTTAAACTATCTGTATGTCATTTAACCTGTGCCTCATTTTCTTCGACTGTAAAAGGCAGATAATAACAGGACCTATCTTGTAGAGACATTGGAAGAGCAAAATGAGATATTTGTAAAAAGTACTTGGCACAGAACCTGGCACATATATATAAATGCTTGCTTGCTTCCTCTTTCTTTTCCATTTCTGCTCTTTTCTTCTCTCCTTACACTGTTCCCAAGTTGAAGTGCCCAACCTCAGCAAACATCTGTAAAGCACCTACTAAGGACAAGACACCATAATTGGGTCTGTGGATATGCAAACAACAAGGTACATAGTCCCTGTCCTCAATGAGCTTATAGTCAAATAAGCCATTTACCCAAATAAATTCAGGGTGACCTAAATATTAGTGTAAATTTCAATAGCTTAAAGCCGAACAAAGATTTTGGGGGACACCCTATATGCCACAAATGAAGTGTGGTCAGTCTTCATTGTAGTCAGGTTCAACGGTCTCCAGAGTAGGGTACTCACACCCCCGGAGTGTGAAAGATTATCCCTTGGGGCTAGGCAAAGACATCAGCACCGAGGACAGCAGCCCAGCTGATCAATGTTTTTGCAGCTGGGGCCTGCTTCTCAAGCTCTCCTTCCCCCTTGCCTACGCCCAGTGGAAGGGCAGCCCCATATGCTATAGCCCCTCCAGGAAGCCGGAGGCAGGCAGTCATTCCTTGTATTCCCCGCATACCTGATCCACCCCACCACCCCCACCACACAGCCACTGAAGCTTCCACATATCTTGAGCTCAAATGTCCCCTGACTCAGCCTCTGCCTACTGTCCACACCCCCTGCTTGCCCAGTGCCTGGGGGACCCCGGCAGCAAAAAGGGCAGCTAGATTTTGCTTCTTCAGAAATGGGGACCCCTTTAGGACTTCCACACCAGGGGGACAGGTGGGATGTGAGCTCCCTGCGGTGGAACTAAGATGCCCACTGCCCAGTGCTTCAGGAAGGGGAGGTGGGTCCAGACTGCAATGGGGGCAGGCAGACCCTGCTTCCCAAGAGGGAGGCCTCGTCAGGAAAGGATGGGCAGGATGAGGACTCAATAACCTAGGACAGAATGAGGGAGAGATCGCACTGGAATCCTGGAACGTGTGTGTGGGGGGGTAGTCCATGAGCGCTGGCGTCCAAGCTGGCCCAGGACAGGGAGGTGACTGTACATTGCCACCAGCCTGGGCCCTTCTTGCCCTCTCCCCTCACCCTGAGAGGAGGAGATGCCATGCTGGCCCCAGATGAGCTTGGGTAAAGAG